TTATATTAATTATGAATATAAAATTATATTTTGACTAACAATAATACAACATAGGAACAGTGCAATTTATAACCAATTTTTCAGAAAATACAGTAGGCATATTTCTAGCTTAATCTATCTAAAATCTACTTGAGAGCTTACTACATTCTGAGACACCATTTCTATTTTGATATTCCATGCCATTATCTCCCACAAGTGAATATAGTTTCTCAAAAAACTGCGCCTTTAACCCTTAAAAATTCTATTTAGGCCAATCAGTAGATCCGTAACAACCCCTATGATGTACAACTATTATGACTGGCAGCTATCTAGCTGCTGACAGTTTCTGCCACAGTCTTGTGTTTACGTTATCCCTTTCCATCTCTAATAGTATCCTGCTCTGAACACTTTAAACTCATAAGTATCTATTTTAAGACCTATTCACCACAGAGGAGTCTGATTCAGTCAGACGGCTCTGAGTGTGTGTAATGAAAGAAGTTTTCTGTTGTCCTCTGAGATGTGTAAGAAGGCAGTGTTGGGAGCATGCTTGCATATATATTAAAATTAAGCCTGGGGTTTAAACTGTGCTGCACATATCTAAAAATGTCACAGCTTACATTTTTTTCTCCAAACCTATCCTCCTAACTGCATTCATTATCCATTGGTTCTCTCACCCTAACCGTCGCTTGCAGCCCCATGCATTCCACAAGAAAGGAGCTCCCTGCACACAAATTACAATGTGCAAAACACCTAAAACGTGTATATAAACCCACAATCCGCTGCGCAGTTTTTAACACTGCTTGGAAAGTGTGAGATTCCAAGTGCAGCTCTGCAACCGGTCCAAAGATGGCTTTGCCAAACACCTCTCGAGATTCATCTCGCACACTCTCTCTCTCCCTTTCATTCTTTCTTTCTCTCAAGCATTACACATTGCTTCGCTCATTTCATACAATTTTCCAGCAAATAAAGACATGCTTACTAGAAGCTTTGAAAAGATTTCAAACAGACTTGGGCCACTTACTGAGGTGCTCTTTCCATATGAAAGAAAGAAAGAGGGCTCTTTCAACTTCAGACGAGGGGACGCTCAGAGTGAGACACCAGGAAATAGAAGACTCTGTAAAGAGACGCCAAGGCCAAAGCAAACTAATCCATATAAACAGGCCTGACGTGACACTGATAGGACTTTGCATTATGTGCTTACTGGGTTGCTTATTAAATTAATACTTTGAAGTTCAATGCAATGTGCAATGATGAGTTTCATAAAAGGATATCTTGCTTTTATTACTTGCACAATGGCAATTTAGCCAAGTAAGTGGAGTGAAATGTCTTATGCTGCGTTCACACCAGACATGGATGAAATGCCAAGTGCGAGTGATTTACATGTTAAGTCAATGCAAATACACGAATATTCATCCTACGGTGCATTTTGCAGGAGTGAGGCGGTGCGAATGATGCAATTTGCATGAATGAAGAAGCGCAAGTTGACTGTTTTGCTTATGATGCGAATCGCTGGAGTTGGAAAATTCAAACTTCAGAGCAGTGGTCCCCAACCACCGGGCCGCGAACCAGTACCGGTTCGTGGAACAATTGGTACCGGGCCACATATGAAATCATAAATTATTTCTGTAGAAAATATTCCCCCTGCAACTTGGTTTCTTCCACTCACCCCCGCCATCTCACGTGAAATGGACTATGCCAAAATCCACCACGGAGCGGGAAGAACGATCACTAGAATATAGCTCAGTGGTGGTTGTTGATAGTTAAAAGTTATAAAACAGGTATTACAGAGTCCAAATCAGCAGAGCATTTAAGGATTGTGCATATAACGTTATGTGTGAGTGCATCGCTAAGTAAGTACCCGAAATCATTGCAATATGTATCTATATGGAGTTTCAAATAATCATACTCATTAGGGCTGTAACATGCTAATGCATACATTAATTCGGCTATGCGGTTGTATTATTGTTAATACATTCGTCAGTTGAAATGTTTGGCACAGATATTATGTATTTAACGCATATAAGCCTTGATTGAAACATAATCAGACCGCGATTGTGCAACTAGCGCATGTGCACTGAGTTGTTCATGATTAACCTGGATGCACGAGCGTCAACCGCTGACCGGTCTGCGGTGATAAAAAGGTTGGGGACCACTGCTTTAGAGGACATTCGCACCACAATAAACAATCAGGAGCTTGAAGGGGATGACTATGACGTAGTGCCTGTTGTTGGTGTCCCAAGGGGAAATCCTCTTGCCGACACAGGACAGCAGTTCATCAAACTAGGTGCGGAAGCACAGCTGAAGCCTCCATTGTCCAGGTGTTGCTTCTGGGGGAGTTGATGAACTCAGAGCTGGGTGCTCCACTGAAAGGATCTAGTGGACTCAAGCACGGCTGCAAATGAATCTACAGTATGTTGTTTTTCAGCCTTCACAAAGCACATAAACACAGCTACTATCCCAATAAAATCCATGTTAGCCATTTAGCATTGAAGCTAGAGTCACAGGGCAGACAGGAGCCCTGCAAGAGACACAAATTTGTGTCGAATGTGATGTGAATTTGATGCGTGAATGAACCAAGTAAACTTAAAATGTTAACGTGTCTATTTATGTAATTTATCCTTGTGTTCCATGCAGCATTCACACGGGGCTTCAGTGTCAACACTTGACGGAGGGCGTGTCTGCAGTTGGAGCTGACGTGATCGTCATAGCAGAATCAGCCAATAAAATGGGTCTGCAATCGGCTACAGTCTGAGCTGGGGTATTTGCATAAAACAATCTGATTGGTTGATGCTTATATTGACACTTGAAAAGTTGAGAAATTTCCAACTTCTGCAGCAAATAACGAGCTGAAGCAGCGCCGACGGATCCACAATTCAGTTCAGCAAAAATTGACTTCATCCCGTCATTCAAAGTGAATGGGAAGCATTGACGCTAATGCCCCGTGTGAATGGGACAGTTATTACTGTGTTTTTAACATAGGAAGGGAAAGTTTAAATAAATCGTAACTCGACGCATGAACATTGAGTTGTGCATCAAATTGTTTCATTTGTGGGTGAAATTCGCTTCAGAATAGGCGTGGATTTGCCTCATTAGAAGCCCCCATAAGCGGGGCTTCAGTCTACCTGGTGACTTTAACATCATTGCTAAATGGCTAACATGTTTTTATTGAGAGAACAGCTGTACTTTGTGATTTAGGAATACTGAAAAACAGTGTTGATTTGTTCGGAGCCATGTCTGAGTCCACTTGATCCATTCAGAGGAACACCCAGGTCTGTGAGTTCATCAACTCATCCAGAAACTTTACCTCGATGATGGAACCTTTCTGTAGTGCTTCCAACAAACCCAAGCCCAGTTTATGAGCACATGTCCGATGTCAGCAGAAGAATTTCCCCTCGGAACACCAACAACAAGCACTACATCATAATCACACCCCCACATTAGAGCAAGCTCCTGATTTGTTAACCTGGAGCAAATGTCCGCTAAAGTTCAGATTTTCTGACTTGAGCTGTAATGAACAAAAGTCAAGATCTGTGATACACAAAGATGACTATTTGTACAGTTAAAGGGGACCAATGTCAATGTTATTCAACATATCTTCTTGCTTCTAACCAACAGTACAACAATGTAAGGGTGAATAACAGATGATAGCATTTTCATGAACAATATCTTTAAGCTAAAAAAACAACTATTCACAGGTACGGACATTTGAACAAGGAGTTTCTTTCATGGAGAAACAGAGCTAAATTTACAACATGACTCTCTGCATCTTCGTTCTGTAAGATGTAAGAAGAAGAAAAACACCTTGAGGTTGTGCTATCAAATAAAGCTCAGAGGGTTACAAAACATGCCTCTGGCTTTAAAATGCTGTTTCACAAACTCTCTGGCTCATACACAAACAGAGTCTGCCTGGCAGGAGCGGATTAGAAAAAAAAAAAAGTGTTTCCAAAACACATGCTGATGATGGTTGAAGGAGAGTTTCAAGCCTCTCCAAACACAGAGGCTCAGTGTTTAGGCTTCTGAATAGCGTGACAGCTCAGTGTGCTTGAAACTAATACATAATCACTTGCACAACACGCATGGCATCAAACTATACATGCACCAAATTTACAAGCACATTTCTTGTGAATATCAAAATGAGAGCTCTTCCTCATTAGCTATAATCCTATGCCAGGTGTAGAGAACAACTAGCAGTGCTTTGAGGCCTTTTGTTTCCACTGCTCTTGCTTGTTTCATTGTTCTTAACATTAATAATAAATGTATGCCTGCAGCATTGCCAGCGTACCCTGAGGGAGAAGAACCAGAATCTCTTTACAATAGTACATAAGCTACCTTGCTGACTAACTATACCTGTATGTTGAAATACTAACAATATGTGGACACACGTCATAAAATATTTGTTAAAAACAAAGTGTTGTTGCAGCTGAAACAGTAGTAGATGGGGAAGTAAGGCGAAAAGGGAACACAGCAATAGATATAATGTATAAAGCCTGGTGTATGGTCAAGGGAGGGCTTACTCTGCTGAAAATGCAGCCAGCTTGAACTTGATCTTCTGGTCAAGCTGGTGTCTTAGTTGATTTATAAAAGGATTTTGAAAACTTTTGAAAACTGAACTCTGTAAGGACACTGGATATGAGGCAAGATATCCACAAGATAGATCTGCTTGACCAGGATACCAGCTGAACATTACTTTGACCAGGCTGGGAGACCAACAAATGACCAGAAAGCTAGCTTCTTTAAAATATTCTTTCATCAGGATATATGCAATTCACAGTTTAAGCAGAAAGACACCATAATATTATCACCCTTTAGCAATTTTTCGGTTTTTTTTTTTTCGGTTAAAAAGTTGAAATAGACAGAATAGTGATGGAATTTTCCCATAAATTGCTCCAGTGCCTGACTCTTACCACTAGGCCATACTATAGCAATTCACTTTACAAAATCTCAGAGCTGACATCAAGACCTTTAAAGCAAGACAATTATTCAGGTATAGCTAAGTAACTTAAGAGAAATTCTGTACTTACGATCTAGGCCGTTGATGTATCGCATGGTGATCTCACAGTGCCCCCATACCGCACTGACAATGGGGTACAGCTTTTTGCCCTTAAGACCTCTGAAGGCCACTCCAAGGTACTGTCCGTCCACCATGAAGCTCAGTGTGCCCTCGTCCATGTCCAGCACCACCATCAGTGTATCTGGTAGCACAAAAGCCTCCTCTGGCTCCAGGAAGCTTGGATATGTGGGTGCAGAAGAGGCCGGCCGGTTCTTACTGTTGTGGTAGAGCTTGTTACGTCCCAGGTCCCAGCCCCAGGACTCACTATCGCTGCCCACTAAAGAGGTGTACCCTACAGAGTGCAATGGGGCATCTCCTGTGGCCACACCCACCACAGCATGCGTGCCCCTTTGCCTAGCAGGCCAATGGATCCTCCAAACATGGAGTCCTCGTGTGTATCCCACCCGTCCACGAATGCCATCGGTACTTTGGGCAACTGGGTGCCGATGGAAGGTAAGTTTGTCATCGTCCTTAATGAAGATGTTAAGGGAGCGGTCGTCCGAGTTCCAGGCATGCCGAAGCTGTTGCTCATATGAAGCAGGAGGCATGTCCAGGAGTAGATCCAGTCGGGCTGGCTTGAAGAAATCTGGCCCTCTCAGTTCCCTCCTCAGGGGCCTGAAGGACGGCTCCCCTCGCACATCTACGGACTTGATACTCCCTGAGATTTTCTGGCCCATGGCTTGGCTGGCTGGAAAGGGGTAGGGAGGAGGGGAGAGGGAAGGGGTTGCTCAACGCAAGGGCTGGGCTTCCGGAGTCCGCCGTTACCTCATCAAAGCATCAAGACATCAGCCCCCAAACACATGTCAGTATCTGGCAGTAGAGAAAGTGCCAGCCTTACTGAATCCCTAGGAGAAAACACAAAAACACACCATGTCATTAAAACAGAGAGTGGTCTGGAACTACTAAATGTGAATTCTCAGAGGTGCTGAGGATAAAATAAGAACAGAAATAAAGGAAGAGCAAAAATTTTATGAGCTGGAAGAGATGATCAGGGCTCTGCTGCCAACTGCAGTCTGACAGAGTGAGAGATCGCCATGGGGAAGGATGTAATAATGAGGGCCGCAGGTGAGAAAGAGACACCTTCTCTATGACATACAGAAACACCAAGCCCGCACATATTCACACTTGACAAGACATGTCACCTATAGCTCAAAAAAACAGCCCAGCTTATCTCAATACAGAGCAGTACAGACCCACATATTGCATTTAAAAAAATATTAATTGCTATCTATTCAAAACTGCCAACCTTTACAAACAAACTGTATGAAAAATGAAAGGCCCTGTCTGCTCTCTGACATTTCTACAGATTCCATCACTTAGCAGAAGTATTTTAATAAGGCACTTTTTAAAAAAGAGTGAATAAATAAATAGATAGAAAAAAATATCTTGGAGTAAAAAGGAGCTCTGCTTGCATATGCCAAACCTGCTGCCATAATATGTAGGTGTCCGCCAGACCATGGCCAACGTATCCAAGTGATTTTACAGTATTGATTTGCAGTTGCTATTGTGTTTTGGGAGGTTTCTAAGATGTTGCTTGGTGTTTGGTTAAGGTTGGTTTATACTTTTGTGTCAACTGATCGGCGTGACCCATGTAGCCTGCTTTGCGCGTAGTCGTGCATTTATACTTCTGCATGCTGTTTGTGTTGCCCTACAATAACACTTCCGAAATGCCCGCTCGCAGTTAGTTATGCTTCTCTGGGTTGAGTTTCTTCGCAGGTGTTTTTTTTTTCTTTTCTGAATGCTACAAGTAGCTCAAACTCGCTCATTCAGAGGCGAAAACTGGCTCCTTTACGCCACTCGACACTTGTTTTTTTTTTTTTTTTGCTCCATTGGGCTCGGGGCTCTCAGCACCGGCCATGCTCGTCACCACTACCAAGCTGACTAATCACAGAGCTTGCGCTACACATTATTGCAACGTGTAGTTACATTTTTTGAGAGGTGCGTGTCAGCGTCGGCATCAGCCATGGTGAGGGCTACAGTATGCAATTGCGTATGGGCTGTGCCAGAGCATACACGTGTGCTTGATGCAGAAGTATAAATCAGCCTTCAGGTGTTCTGTGTGGTTGCAATCTGGCTCAAGTCAAAGTCCCAAATCTCCAATATACATGTATAATCGTTTCTAAATATGGCCATTCAATGCCTAAATACCAATGTAAATCTTTTGGAATATTTGGATATTAATTTGATTTATAAAGCTGATTACTTGTCCCTCCAAAGAGATGAACAATCTGTAACACAAAATGAATGTGACAAGATATGTGCTGAATTTTATTACTTCAGTTCTCTTTACTAGAAATCGATTTAAAAAGGAAGAATGCCAAAAATGTAACATTATTTCCAGGTTCCTAGGAGAAAGTGTGAGGGAAGAAACAAAAGAGAGAGATTCGGTTCACATCAGCTTCAATGTCACAAAACTACTGCCACATTAAAAGAGCATTTGAGATTGTGCTGGAGATGAGAGTCTGATGAATGAAACATTAGCAGTAACTTCCTGCAACAGTAAGTGACGCAACATCTTTTCCCGGAATAAGAGAGTCTCATCCCAAGGAGAAGCACTAGAAAAAAGACAGTTGGGGTATGTTTACATAAACTATGTCATTGTGTCTACAGCAGGTATGCTATTTGTGACGTATCAGTTCCTTCCAAACTATACACTTCCTCAGCAGTATGTGTAGTGTTACTCACAGGATGTCAAAAAGTTTTAGTCTGAAACTTTTAAAAACCCAAAATAGTTATGTACAGTAGCAATCGGATGTGCAGCTATGCAGACTCGAGCGCAAAAGTCCCTCGAGAAGTCCCAGAAGTCATTGCATAAACACTAAAATTAAAATTTTTATAAAGGCATAAACACATTAAGGGTGTTCATTTACTCAAATTCAATGGCTTTTATGGATAGAATATATTGTGAAAAGGGGGAAAAACAATAAATTGTTGTATGACTGCTTTAATGTTTAAATCATTTTCCATTAAAATGCGTAAAAGTCATGTGATCATCAGGAAGAACCATGGAAAAACGCAGCATCTTATTACCCAGCACGCATTCTCTGTTCTCATGGTCTACTGAGTTCGTTCTTTCTTAGGTAACTTGGCTAGATCGCTCTCTCTTGCATTCTTGGAATTAAGAACCAGCCAAAGTTTTTCAAAGCTTCGAAACAACTGAACCAAAAGTAGAGATTCACCACTGTGGACAATCTGAAGGCCACGTGATTCATGTTAATTGTATATTATTAAAGAGATCGCCCCCTAGTGGAGAGCCATTGAATTTATTTATTTTTAATATTTCACTTATGATGTAATGTGCGCTCCGTTTACTGAAATCATGTGACCTTGCTAATTTGGTACAAGCTCTAAAATCACTGATTCATCCTTAAATGGTTGTCATGAAGCAGTTCTTTAAAAGCAGTCATCACTAACATGTGGTACTAATCAGGTATACATCTACATTTCAGTACAGAACAAAATGCAGCATAGATTAAAATAAACGTTTTCAGTTAACATGATTAAATTCTGAACAACATTTTTGAGTTTGAAGATTGTGTTTGATTAATTTATCTTGTTAGCCTGTGTCATGTTAGACTACTACTATTTTAGAATACAGCTCATTACTGGACAAGCTAAAAAAAGAGCTCAGCTACAGCACACTATTAAAATATGTAGCGGAGTCCATGTTGCTACTTTTAGCTGCTCTCCAGCAGTGCCAGACTACATATTCTCTCTTTGTCAGACAACCCAAGCTGGTAGGTCACCGCCACAAAGAAAAAAAAAAAGGTCAAACATACTGTACTGTACACGCACACAAACACACCTCTGTCAGACTCAACACACTAAGGTCAAAGAGAAAGACAGACAGGAAAAGAGGGAGCTCAACTCAGACATCAGGAAGGAGGGTGGTCAGACGGCCAGACAGTCAGATGTCGGAATCCTGGGTAAGTGTTACCAATATTAAAGGAAAAATAAATGAGGTCATGAAAGAAGTGGGATAGAATGTGAATGAGAGAGAGAGAGAGAGAGAGAGAGAGAGAATGAATGAGCAGGAAAGAGAGCGACTGCTGCCCTAACATGCCACTCACAGCTATCATAACATGTGCTAGGAGTCGAGGTGTTAGGTTTTCCGTATCATATTTCAGCGTTGGAGAGGCTCCCGCGGCAGGGCACAAAGGCTTTCACAGACTTGCCGTCGTGCCGAGCCACACTAATGCGTTTCATTCAGGTTGTGTTTGGATCACACACATCAGTTTAGCTAACATTTCCTCACTCGAACCGCTGTAGTCACTAATAACAGTAATAAACACCGACGCAAACATAATTACGCTGTTTGTCTGGGAGTTGTAGACAGAGTTTTAAACACTGTTCACACATTAGGTAATTACATGAAGGCTTGTAAAACAGGCAGGAAAAAAGAAACGGCTGAGAAAAATACCTACATACAAAAAGCTTTTTCACGGATCAATTCAATCCATTAAGGACCATTTTGAGGCTGGAAATGTATAAATCTGACACGGCGCGCTTCCAAAATGTCAACGTCAAGCTTACTATTATGACACATTTCTATTTTTATGTTTATATGAAACAATGTATTATAGCTTGTGTATTGAATTTCCCCCGAAAACAGCTTGATTATTCTCTGCTTATAGTGAAGATGGAGGAACTAATAATAAATAGACAGACAGACAAGGGTGGTGCGATTAATCAAAATTGAATCTAAATCATGATTTGAAATGTTGCGATTAGCAAAAAATTGCAAAAAAGGGAAAATGATGTAATTATGTAAATTTATCACAAAAAAAATTAAAAATGCACGTAAGCAGGGGTGGATTTAGTTATTTTGGGGCCCTAAGCAATTACAGGCATGGGTCCCCAACAATCCTAATATGCACCCACTGTATTTTTATTCATTTATTTTTTATTTATTCATCACTCAATCTACTGTTCTACATTTGTATTTTAAAGCAATCCTTACATTTAAATGATTTGTTTTCTTAAGTTCCTAGGGCGTAGTGGCCACATACGTGGACAGCACGTTTTAGCTCTTAAGTGGCTATTTAAAATACTTTGAATGTTTTATATTTTGTTACAGACATACCGTCTTATCCTGCAACTGTTTTGCAGCATATATGAAATGTCCCAAACCCTATTTTTAACTGTCCAAAAATAGTTTTTACTCTCCGATGGTCAAAACATGTTCAAAAAATTTTTCTATGTTTAATATGCATAACGAAACAGTCAGGGAAAAGTGTTTTATGTAAATTTGGACCACGAGTCCACATATATGGACATTGTTTTGTTTTTTTTACCTAAAAGTACATCATATTAAAAGATGATACTTAGGTTTTTTACTCTAATTAGGTTTCAATAAGCCCAAATAGCAAACTTTTTTTTTTTTTTTTTTTTTATAAACTTTATTTATTGAACACAAGTGGAAAGCATTCGTATACAAATGTCCAATTTCTGCTTTTCTTTTTTGAACACTTTTGTAAACATTCAACCCCAAAACCCCCCACCCATCCAAACACTTTTCTTGTAAAACGTATAACAGAAAACGGAGGGAAAAAAAATAAATAAATAAAATAAATAAATAAAAATAAAATATTAACAATAAAACAAAAATAATGATGATAGTACAATTTAAGATACATTCATAAATGCTTTCAAATAAATAAATAAATGAAACAAAATAAATACATTAGCTAGTTACATCAATAATAATGATGTGCTACCTACTTCTTAGTTATTATGGTTTTAGTTGTGCTGAGGTTAAACCAATGCGTCTAGTTTAGGGCATGACTGTTCCGGAGAAAAAAATGCTAGACTAAAAGAAAAAAATAATAATAGTAATTCCGACCAT